CAACATACATGAATGTTGTACAACACTAGAGCTAGGCCTACAGGATAAAAGATTATACAAGTGATCAGCTGTGCTCAAAGAACTTTAACGTTCAATGAAGCATCGCAGAAAAAGTCTCTCAGAATGTTTGATTTTCATCCATGTATTTACCAAGTTGCAATAAATAGGCCGTCAGGAATGGTCGCTTGGAAAGCCACACCGCTGAGCATGATTCCCTTTGACTATCATCAACCGTTACCTCTTATCTATTTCCCACACATGAGTTCGTAAACATCAGTACAGTGAGCCAATCTATCTCTGCTTTCTTTCACCGCTCATTAAAAACCTTTTGTAGTCATAAACCTGATCAGAGAATCATTTTTAAAACAGTCACGTTTCGCTGCATTATTGGAGAAAGCAACCCCCCATCTGCTCAAGGAAGGTAGCAATGACCACGAAAAACCTTTTTTTGCCAGAAAGTGTTTGCAAATCGGTGCATTTTGTAGCTCTATCTTCACCGAGCATGGAACTTTTTGAATTTTTGAAATCCATCAATAAACAAAAAAGTTGCAGATTTTTTAATCAATTAATTTCTGGTACACTTTATAATGAAAAAAACCCAAAATATGGGACGTTCTTTGGTGAGTTTTGAGACAATATTCGTCATAACTCGCTCATTTGTCGGAGTATTTAAAAGAAACTTGGCAACCCAGTACATTTTCTAGTGCAGAATCTAGTCCTGCTTTCAGATTTTTCATAACTATCCTATTTTTTGAGTTATGAAGACGTTTATAGGTAAAAATGTGGCGGTTTTTGGTGCGTTTTGAGACAATATTTGTCATAGCTCGCCTATTTCTTGGAATATGTAAATAAAACTTGGCAGTCTAGTACATTTTTAAATGCAGAATCTAGTCATGCAGTCAGATTTTTAATATCTGTCATACTTTTTGAGTTGTAAAGACTTTAACAGGTAAAAAAGTGGCGTTCTTTACAGGTTTACAAAGATTGTTCTCCCAAAGTCATGATATTTGAATGAAACTTGGCAACATAAAAGGTTCCTCCTTGCCAAGCAATGCTCTGGATCAATTTGTCACAAAAATGTAAGTAGAGAGGTGGATTTATTAGTCTAATAAATCCAGTTCTGTACTAGTAAAAGCATGCATACTTTGTTATAGAAAATAAGATCGTTTCTGTGTACATCCATTGTTGGACAGTGTCCTATTGGTCCTATTGTGTGGTAAATTAAGATGCATTCAGATAATATAGTTTACAAGTCATGGGAATATTTCGCATGTGTAGGCTACAACTCATACAATAAATGTAACATATTTACACCCCCCTCCCCCTCCCTCTCTCTCTCTCTCTCTCTCTCTCTCTCTCTCTCTCTCTCTCTCTCTCTCTCTCTCTCTCTCTCTCTCTCACTCACGCGCGCGCACACACACACACACATGCACGCGCGCGCACTCATGCACGCATGCACGCGCGAACGATAACAATGTATAAACGGGACTATCTTCCCAGACTGGACTAAATAAGTACCATACTCTTTAATAACAATCTTAATGCCTCACTTTTCCAAACAGAGCACACAGGACAAGTCCAAGTGTGTGCTTTCCCAAGAGGGGGAATAGGCTTTCATAACGCAAACACAATGCCATACCACTTCTCAAGATGTTTGCTTTTCTATTTCTATTCTTCTGCCATGCAATCAAGCAAATAAAAATGACTACATCTATTGTATTGTGACTAAAATGCAACACAAACGCAAGTTATCAGGGCCCCCATTTAGTTTTCAAGTATCCTTCCCCCCCTTTCCGGTTCACAAAGCGGGGCCTCGTTTGTCACGCCCGAGGCGACCGATGGCTGATGACGTCACTCAGTGGAAATTTCCCAGCCGCATGTCATTCACCCAGCACGCGCAAATGGCAATGCCGCTTTTTCCCTTAGTTACTCCCACATTTTTAAAGATTACGCGAAAACCGCTAAACACAGAAGCTTGAAATTTTAAGAGAATAAAGAAAAATGGTGTACAACGTATCAGTCAGTTTGACAAATCACAGCTCCGAAAAATCTTCAAAGCTCACCACATCAACCACTTTCACAAACCTTTTCGACTGCTTCTAGGATGGGTACAATGTTGTTAAACTGTATACTACGAGATTGACCTCTTTTCTGATTGGCTGCCAGGTTTCATTCATATCCATTCACGAGAAGCGGCGTGAGAGCGAGTTGAAGACAACAACCTTTGCGTTAGTGCGTCCCACAAAACACCCCCGTTGCGGGGGCCAAAAATCGGCAGAACAAAACGCGCTCGGTGGACATTGCTAACGAAGGTCATTAAAATATCGACATGTAAATAAAATGATTGTGTCCCTTTCCCCTTTGTACAGGCTCAACTAAACGCACACCTCATGTAATCACATGCTTAGGAGCCCTCCCGAGCATCATGCATTTAGGCAGAGACTACTGATTATATTTTTCAAAGACAAAAAAAAAAAGTTAAACCCACAGTGTTTTGTCATATTATACAGTTCCAGTACTCTGACCATGATGGTGTTTTCTCTGTGAGCTCAACCTGAATTCCCCCCCCTCAAACGTAATTGTCACTTAAACTTAATATTTATTATGAGGAGGAAAATACAGTCTAACCTGTGTAAGGAGAAAAGTGGAAACTGTAAGACAGGTGTCCGTCTTAGGCAGGATTGATCAAAATGAAGAAAACAAACTATTCCCTACTGAGATCCCAACCGAAGGTAGCCGCATTGTTATAATATTGTTGTTGTTGTTGGTTTGTTTTTTCTTAGCTTTTTAATTTTGTTGGTCAATTTGTGCAAGGGTGACAATAAAACTAAATGCGTCATACGAGCAAGACCAACTGCCACGTTAAAACAAACACGGGTCATAACCACTCAGAATACGAGTGACGCTTCTGTCACAAGTTCATGTCTATGTTAACGTCCATTGTTACTTTGTTACAGACGGGTAAACACTGACCGGTCACCTCACTTACGATTTGTGTAGGAGATGTGGGCCAAGCTTATGGGTTATGAGGGACCACACGCTTACCTCACCAGCAGCTGAAAATTTATTGTTATCTATTGGTCAACAGTGGGAGGGGCCTGATCGGTTGGAGGGACTATCTAACAAAAATGACAAGGGATTGGTTTATGGCGGCTCGTCCACAACGTATCCTTTGTCCACAATGTCAGGGGCCAGAACATTATTTAAGACAAAACGTCGGGTGATGAGATGGGTGGCCGTCTAAGACAGTTGTAATTCTTTGGTGAGATAAAATATGGTGGTCGCTGCTGCGTTGGACAGGTGCCTGTTTTACACAGTGAAATTATATACCAAAAAAACGCAAGGGGGGAAATGGAAAGTGGCCGTTTGTATGGGTGCCGTCATGGCAGGTTCGACTGTACATCTATTCTTCAGATCAGTCAGCCTTTACGTGCAATCAAAACCCCATCACAAGACAATGAAGGGTACAGAAACTGCTATATTAAGTGTACACTTTACACAGCTTGGCTAGAGTGGATGAGTACGACAAGGGCAGCTGTTAAACAAAAGTACGGGCTTTTAGAACACCAACTGTGTTTTCTGAAAATTTCCACTGATTTTTACCACCTCAAGCCAAGAAACCACGCCGCCCCCCCCCCCCCCCCCCCTCCACCCAAAAAAACCCCCCAAAAAACATGGGCCTGAATTAAAAACACATGAAGCTAAAGCGAGCACCTAGCACACCACTGTGATTGGCCCAAATATAGATGACGTATTTCTGCCATCTATTTTTGTCACCTCCGCGACTTCCCCAAAGACTCTTGGGTTTCCCTCGCCAGTAACTGTTAAAACTATATTAGATCTCATCGTCTTTGCTTTTTTGTTGCATTAATTTATTTTTAATTTGTGTTATCTTTTATAAACAATCTCAGCAATTCTCATTCCACAAATTTACCTTCTCCTTAAAAAAGTTGTACACACACACACACACACACACACACACACAAGCACAGACACACACAAGCGTGCGCACACACACAGAAGCATGCGCACACACATACGCACATAAAGCGGGCCTGCCACTGTGAGATCTAGTCAACTGGCGAGATAAGCCCCGGCTGATGACAAAAATAGATGGCAGAAATACTTCATCTATATTTGGTCCAATCACAGAGATGTGCTAGGTGCTCGCTGTAGATTCATGTATTACAAACTATCCCAAATCAACCGATAATAATACACAGCATTTCATCCCAAAATTCCTACGACTAGTCTAAGGTTAAGCTTACTGCTCGGAGCTTTTTGTCACCATCCACATTCAATAGCGAAGCATACATTGTTGACCTGCCCTTGTGAAAGCTTTGTGAAAGTAAGTGAAGACGAGACTCAACTCAAGACCAAGAGAACCACAAGCCACATTAATAGGAGGCTTCATACGTCCTATACTATACAAAAGCTGATGATAGACTTGTCAGAGTTAAAAGCTAGCCTTTTTCTAGAGCTACAAATGCAAATAGGTCTAGCCGCAGTCTTTGTTTACTAAGAATGTGTTACCTACTGCCCAACTCCTCCCAATGCCTGTGACAGTTCTATTCCTATTCCAGTCTTTGTGGAAAGAAGGTACCGAAAGAAGTTTAAAGAAAGGCTAGGGCTATGCAGGGCAAGCTTACAGACTTACAAACACTAGCCTAGACTAGGGCCTATTGACAAGCATAACCTTCTGTCTTAGCAATGACAGAGCAATACTGAAATATAATTTTGTGGCCATCACTTTGATTTAATATACCTTCTCACTCAAGCACCAAAACAAATCTAGATTCTAGAATCTATACGGTGCCGAATACTGAAGCAATAAAAAATGACTCATCATTGCAAGCATCTAAACATAGAGAACAGAGACGAAGTCCATATCAAAGAACCCAAATGGCAATCATATGTTTTGCGATTGTTGAGATTACTAAATCGTAGAAGATTACTCAAAACATATTCCCGTATGTAAAGAGTAGAAAGGAGACTTTTACCTCTCATTTTTAACAAATTTAGTAGCCAGTTGTGTTCTGTTAGTTTACGCTGAAAGACGGTCGGATACAACAATGTGAACACAGCAGAGACACAAACACCGGAAGTACACACGCAGTTCGCATGCGCAGTGAATTAATAGTCACAAGTTTGTTTCGACGATCAAGGCAACCCTTGCAGAAAACATGTATTATAATTAATTGGAGCTTCGACAGAGCTGAGCTCAAACTGAATATAAACAATTCAAGACCAAAGAAAAGAATAACTCTTCCAAATTCATTGATCAGTCACACAGAGACAGGAAAGGTGTAGCCCCCCTCGAGAAACAATATCTCCTCTCCCCTCTGCAACATCAGATGACGAACTTTGTAGTTTATTTGTGACTTTTTTCAATGACAAAAT